GCAAATAGTCTGTCAATAATGCAAACCCTGCTCTTCTCATGCATTGCATTTGTTCATGATAAAAGATGAGTTCTTGCTGTTGATTTGGCTTTCATATACGAAACCCTTTTTTTTTCCCCAATTAATCGTAGGGAATATCAGTTATGTGCATCATATCATTCATTCAACTAGCTTGTTAAGTGTGTAACTATGCTTGTGCAGTGTGTTGTTGAGTTGGTGATTCCTATTCCCGTCATAAAACAGAGCTTTGCTTTTTGACTTTTTTGGTGAAGAACAGAGCTTTGCTTTTTAGCCTGTAACTTCAATGCATAAATATATTTATTTAACCTATAATGAGAAGATTTGATATTGCCGTATGTCATAGGCGTAATTCATAAATTTAGTTTTAGCAAATAATGGAATAATATTTTCTTTATCAGTTTCTTACATTTGCCTTATTGGATCTTTTCTGTTTTAATCAAGCAAATGATGAATGCTGTTTTACTTTATTTATTTGAGCGATACGTACTCATATAATTTTAATATATTATCTGTCATGGGGAAAATGCAAGAAGAATTATTCCAAAAGGTAAAGGTCGTTTTTATCACTCCTATTTCCTCATTAAGATTGGCAGAACAACAAAAAGTTGTCAAATAAACCCAGAAGTTAGTATTCAAGAGCCCCTTAGTTGCTTTGCTGTTGAGGAACATGTTCAATTATCTCGCCAGGTCCAATTATTTGCAATATTGACAAAACCTGCTGTGAAGGAGATCTAATTGCAGGGCTCAAATGTCATGATTTTATGTTATTGTTTGTTTCAACTTACAGATACAAATGTTGAAGGAAAAGTACTTGCCAGATTTGAATCAAATGTACCGAAGAATTGCACATGGACTTCAGCAAGTGTGTTAGGTACTCATTTTTTAATGTTAATACCACCATGGCTAAAGCTGTCTTTTTTGAGTTCTTCCTTGTTATTATGGTGGGAATCATGACTTGCGAGACTGGAGTAATACGTATGCTGTTCAGCCATTTTAACTGGTTCAAGCTCTATGAAACCACTTGATGGAAGATTTGGAAAGATTTACCATAGAATAAAAAAACTGCTTTGATGTGCTATGATTTTCTTTCATGTTATTTTTGGTGAGTGATTGAGTGTTATTTTAATGTTATTTACTGTTTCTTGAGTTTCCATTGAGCATGCTTTAAACTAAATTAATTCATATAATTGTATTTAGCCTTGTTTCGGTATGTCTGTCTATCAGCTTGGCTTGCTTCCCAAGTTTAAGATAATTTATATGCCAATGAGTTTCCTTATAACTTGTTAATATGACCATATTTGTCATTGTGTCTATATCACTCGATCAGCTTGACTCCCATCTGCAACAAGCAGAGTCAGATAAGCATGAAAAGCTGAAGATGTCTAAGCAATGCTTGAGGATTTTATACCATTCCTACGGACTTCCAGGAGCGAGATTTCTCTGGCCCTCAATGAAAAATTACTTTTCTATGAGAAGCAAATTATAAATTTTATAGATACACATAGACCGTCGGTATTGTCACTCCAGCCAGAACAGTTTCCCCGCCCCAGCCACCATCCCACCCTACTCAAGCGCAGTCTTATGAAAACCAAATAAAGTCTGAAGGGCAATCCCAAGAAGCATACCAGAGGGTAAATAAGCCATTTTTATCACTTCTATCTCCTCAACAAAGTTGGCAGGAGCAAAAGAAAATATTCAAATAATCTCAAAAATTAAGTACTGAAGAGCCCCTTGATTGTTATTCTTGTGAGCAATTCACATAGTAATAGGAAAATGAACATCTTTCATGGAGTATTTATATTCTCCTATCTGAATTTGTCATGTTCAATTTATGTGCATTGATATTAAGCCGAGTGAGACAGATCTGATTGTATTGGAATTCTCAAGGTTTCAAATGGTTTTGACTTCTCATTGTGTACTTTAACTGACAGATCCAAATGCTGAAGGAGATGTACCTGCCAGAGTTGGATGAAATTCACCAGAGAATGGCTGATAAAGTTGGGCAGGTATGTTAAGCACTTGGTTTTAGGACTGAGCAATTTTAACACGATCCATAGATAAAGAAGTCTATTTTGAGTAGAAGTGGTAAAAGCTGCTAGAATCCACAGGCTGGCCCATTTTAGCTCCTTTTTTGACCCGGCTTGGACTCGTAAAGATAAGGCTCTTAAAAAACAAGCCTGACGAGACATGGGTGAGCGAATCCCCTCTTAAAAAACTGAAAACTGAAAATCTTATGGAAGAAGGGCCAAGTGGGGTTAACGTTGGCCAATTCCCTCTAATGTGCATTGGGCAACATCTATACATAAGGTTGTTCGAGAAAATGTCAAGTATGGCTGCAAAGCTCGGAATCAAACCAAATCCCTTTATTGCGAATGAGTTTACTTATAATTTATTAATATAATCATATCTAACCTTGAACCTGTGCCTCTACCAGCTCGACTCCGATCCGCAGCAGGCCGGGTCAGTTTCCTGTAGAATGGTGAACATGTTCAAAGCAATGATGGAGCGTAATATAGCAGTCTTGCAGACTTCCAGGAGCAACATTTCTCCTACCTTGGGGGAAGAATTACCTTTTCAGGAGAAGCAGATCATGCATTTTATTGATATGGGAAGGCTTGTTCTAGCCAGCCACAGAGCTTCTGTAATGGCAGAAAGATCGGGATCATCATCTAGCAGCAAAGCAGCACGGTAGTGTAATGCTATTTGAATTGATGATAACATGTTAAAATTAAGGAACAGCAAGTGGAATCTCCAATGAACTGGCATGTTTAATGTCGTCCTATCTTGATCTGATAAGATTTATGATAAATTTGTGTTTGTGGATTCAGTTTTTTCCAAGGGAAATCATTTTTAGGTTCCATTTCTGGAATCATCCTAATTTCATTTTAAATTCGGTTGTGTTGGATTATGAGATCACAGAATGACAAGTTGGCTTTTTCTTAAAATGCATGTATTTTAAAATTGTATGTTTTCCCATGAAAAAGTAATATTTTCATGTAAGTTTTCACGAAGAAAAATTCCTTTGCCCAATCAAATTTTTGTTAATGTACTTCAAAATACTCGCACGTTTTATATTTCCCCACACTCTCACGCTCTTGGCCTTTTTCATTGTGCTTATCTCATTTCTCTCCAGCATCTCATCTCTATGAGCCTCGCTCCACAGACAATTCATCATTTTTCCCTTTTCCCTTCTCTCTTGTTACTTCATCTCTGCCAGATTTGTTTCATGAAATCTGTCACTATTGGTGTGGAATTCGACGAAAGAGTCAAGACTAACACAATGGCTACAAGGGAAATTATTAAATGTGGAGACAGGGTTGCATTAAGAAACCTTCATAATAATGTCATTCAATAGGCATCCCAAAGTTAAGGGTTCTGGCAACCACAGTTGTTGTATGTAATATTTGTTAATCCATTTATTCCTCCCACATTGAGGGGTATGGTCCAGGAAATCCTCTAATTTTAGTCTTTCCTGGCATTCGAAAGTTAGAAGTGTGGAGGCAGAGTTGTTTTATGGAAGCTACATAATAGTATGTCATGGAATAGGCCCCACGCAGTTGAGGATTTTATAAAATGTATAGGTGTAATACTTGTTAATCTGTCGGTTTCTCCCAACATTGAAAGATTTTATCCAGAAAATCTTTTATTTTGCTTATTTCTTGGTTTGTGCTATGAGTACTCCATACCTTTGTTCTAGAAGAGTGGAGGCAGATTTGCTCCTTGAAGCCAACCTAAAAGTATGTTATTCAATAGGCAACACTTAAGTTATATCATGAAATATCTATTGATTTATCTAATGGTATGCCTTTTATTGTTTCTATTCCATCTTTGTTGTATTTGATAGTCCAGACTGTAATGTTGGAGACGATAGTCCATGGTAGGGACCTTAATCGGGAATTAGAAAAACAGAGGGGGAAGAAACTTCTTATAGGAAGTCTGCAAGTATCTCATAACACTCACTAAAAGACCGATAGAGAATCTCTAAAATACATATACTTTCTGAAAAATAACGCGCTTTATTCTCAAGGCCAAATTGCCTTTTTATAGTAAATTACAGAGAGAAAAGATGTTGATAAATCAAGAATAACAGTCAGCAAGGAATCAGAAATAAATCCTAACATTGGAGTGGGAAATCCCACTTATTTCTCAACTGAAAATAAATCAACAAGAAATAATAAAAATAAAAGCACGAAAATAGCTAATCCAAGTCAGATTCTTCTCTGTCACATTTACCTTCCTTGAATAAGTCAACTTGAATTTATTAGGCATCTTGTCAATCCATGTCCAATCATGAATATGAATTTCTGATAAATAAATGAAGTAGATGCATATTACGTTGATTATAAATACATGAGGTCTGTTTTTTATGTTGTGATTATAGTTAAGCTTTGAAATCTTATATGTTCTTGGATTTAAAAAATTATGCTATGCTGGCTTATAGCTGCATCGCCTTGGGGCTATCTTTGACCAATTAATTAGTTACTGCTATATGTTGTCCTGTGTAGTTTAACCATTCTGGATTGCTAGTTTGTAGTAGTAATTGTGCTCTGCAAGTTATAAAATTGACCTTAAATGTTGTTAATCTAATTTATCTTTTATTAGGGTTCAAAACATATTATATTATTGCGGTGGTTACCATGTATAACCACGATCAATAGGTCTTTATATATATACAAACACCCCATTCTTTTATGAAGTGTAAAAGCATACTTCTTTTTTTTTTTTTTTTTTTGACCAGCAAAGAGACGTTCATTGAAGCAAATTAACAGAGAGGCTCAACAAAGATTAAGAGCAATTACATAACCAACAAAAACAAGGGGACTAAATCAAGCCAAAACAAGTTAGCCTATTCCCTCCCTTTCGGCCTCTAAAATCTGCTGGTCAGGACTCACATCATCATTAACCTGTGCTTCGCAAAGGATGATAGTAGCTAGAGGAGGTGGAGATTCAGTGATCAGACCATTAAGTCCTACCTCCCTTTAAGCTAGAGCAGCCAAACGGTCAGCTGTAGAGTTACCCTCACGAGGAATGAGAGAAAAGGAGACCAAGCTTCGATTTTGCACTGGGTCAGTGATTTCTATCAACAAGCCATGAAGACTCCATGGGCAATGTCGGAAAGAGCATTGAGTCACGGCTTTATACAGGTCTTGACAATCCATTTCAATGATTACAGATTGCATGCCCCATTCTTCAACTAATTGGACAGCCTTACATATAGCAAGCATCTCCGTGTGGAAGGCAGAGTATGCACTCACTTGTTCTGCCCAGCCTTTGATAAACAACCCCTCTGAGTCTCTACATACAATGCCAATACCACCTTTTCCATTCTTCTTACAAAAAGCATCATCACAGTTTAGTTTAAGAGTATGGCTTTGTAGTTTCCTCCACTTATAGCTAGCTTCGGGTTCTGCAAAGGTGGGTGCCTTAGGAAATAGAGAGTTCACTTCCCAATACTCTTTCATGGCTCTATTAGTCATCTCCATGGCTTCTGAAGGACTCGGTTCCACTTGTTCAAACGTCATTCGACATCTCAGCTTCCAGATAGCCCATAGCATAGAGGCAACATAAGCTTTACTGTAATCAAAGTCAGAATCATTAAGCAGCTGAAATTCTTCTAGCCAAAACCCCAAGTTCTTGATATTTCTGGGAGATATGTAAATGCCCATAGAATAGCCAAACCAAGCAACTTTAACCCAATTACAAAGCAGAAACAAGTGTTCAAGGGATTCAGTTTCATCACCACAGACAGGACAGACTGGGTTTGAAGCACATCTTCTCCTGTATAAAGCTTCTTTTGAGGCCAGGGCATTGTTTAAAACACGTCAGATAAAGCTTTGAATTTTAGGCATGACCTTCAGTTTCCAAACTGCAGACCAAATTCTAGTATCCACTTTCTTTGATGGAGAGGCACGAGTTACCCCAGTTCTGCCTTCAATAGCAGAAGTTTTCGCTCTATAACCAGCTTTAACACTATAGGTTCCATCTCTAGCAGGAGCCCACATCAACTTATCAGCTCGAGGAGAAGATGTAAGGGGGATTTTACTTATTAAGTCCAAATACAGCTTGTCAATCTTTCGGTTAATGGGTTGCAGGTTCCAGCTCCTTTCTTGAACAAGATCAGCCACAACCATATCTTGGTTAACTGAGATATCATTATTGACAGGTATTCGAAACTGCTTAGCAGCAGGAACCCAGGGATCCTTGAAAACATCAATATAGTGACCCGTCCCAACCTGCCAACAAAGGTTTTCTGTTAAAAATTCTCACCCAGCTAGTATACTATCCCAAACTCATGAAGCTTTAGACCGTTTAGTAGCCTTCATAAAAGATGTATTTGGGAAATAAATGCTCTTTAGCACTCAGACACACAAACAATGCAGTTTTAGCTAGAAGAGTATTATTGAAGTCCATAAAATCCTTGAATCCCAAACCTCCCTTGTTTTTAGATTTCGATAGTTTTTCCATGCAGCCCAGTGAATTTTTCCAGATCCATCTGAGTTACTCCAGAAGAAATTTGAGACTAAGCTATCCAGAGCCATGCACGTATTCTTAGGGAAATGTATTTTTCCAAATCCATCCGAGTTACTCTAGAAGAAATTTGAGACTAAGCATATTTCAAGGGATGCTTTCAAAAAGAAGAGTATGAATTGATTTCAAATGTATAGAAATGTAACATGTCGGTTGATTTATTTTAGTTCCAAATATGCATGGCACATTTTAGGTGGGACAAGTTTTTCTTAGGAAGTTAGAATATAATCAATTAGAATATAACAATTTTTTCTCTATTATCTTGAGTTTGCTTTTAAAGAATTGTGGTATTTGGCCTTGGTATCTTTTTTAACACGAGTTTAGCCTTGGTATTCTGATGGTAAGAGAAAGTCTTTGGGTCTTTGGGTCTTGACCTTCCTTGGACGCAATAGCCAGATTGATTTGCTTTTAGTATAGTAATGGAGAATATTGTAGTATAATTTCCGTCATCATATTAAGTGCAATGTTTTGCATATGATTAATGACGTATATGGGATATTGTAATTTGGTTGGTGAGAGAAATAGAGGTAAATTATTATAATTTTATTATGCTAACTTGTGTTCTGCAAACTATTTGAGTGACGTAAAAATAATAATTTCATTGATGTTAATTGTTCCCATGCTAGTTTTCATCTGTAAAGTAAAAGATGTCTGAAGTTGGTAAAACTTGCCAAATCAAAGAAGTATGAAAGGATTTAAGAAAATAAAAGTAATATAAATCAAAAATAAATTTCGAAAATGTTAGTCGCTAATCTTTCTTGAAGTTATTATCAACCGGACGGTTGAGACATGAAGTTGCTTTTACTTCTTTTTATTTTTAATATTTTTTAGATAATTTCACAACTATGGTTTTAAAATAATAAATTTATCATTAAATATAAAATCACAGTTTGTAAACACATAAGATAAAAATGTGTATCTCGTAGTTTGGTTGCTTTTTTTTTTTTGGCAGAAATTGTATCCAATTCCCTTGTTCTTTATTAATAGATTGTGATGGGAAACTCAAAACAAAAATGTTGTTTGATAAATTAAAATTGAAAAGATAAAGCATTGCTAATCTCTAAAATAACAACTATGATTTATAACTACCTTGTATTATGCAACTTTTTCTTTATATTTACACATATCCTCTTATCAGAATCAGTCTTCTTCAAGGCACTATTAGCTACTAAATGTGGACATCTCTTTCAAGAAAAATTTAAATCTTAGTTCACCAAGTTGTGGGGACTAGCCCCTTCTGCTAGAAACAAGTATATAACCTTTTTTTTTTTTAAATAACTCATATTATACATAATTTACAAATAGTGAGATTTATTAAAGTTTTGGGTTAATATTATCATTAGTACTTATAATTTGATCCAATTTTTAGTTTTGATCCTATAGTTTTATAAATACTTAGTCTGAGTTTAAATATAAAAACTAAAATCATAACTTGTTAACATTATAGTTCCATTCTTTAAATTTCCACTGAAAAATTAATAAAAAAATTAATCAAATTATAAAAACTGACAATGGTATTAACCATAAAATTTTTACACTGCTATATCTTTAGTTTATAATTAATAAATAAATTAATAGTGATTGTACTATAATTTCATATAGTTTTTGCAAAAAAAAATAAATAAACAAGAAAAACATATTGCAACAACCACAAAATATAGTGGGCATAATAAGCGCCTGCCAAAACGGCTGCCCATGGTGACACGTGTACTCCACGTTCTAAATAGCATGTAATGTCCGCAATTTTCCTCAACTGGCAAGCGATCAAGGGGCTTTTCGATACTTACTTGTTCGTCTGACTATTGTGGGAATGTGGAATCTATCTAGTATTTACCCTACCCATGATCAGTTCAAAGCATCGTCGTCTTGCTTTCTCTGCTTTGATCTCGTCATCGGCTTCTTTCTGCTGCACCCTAAGGTATCCATCATGTTTTTGAGGAAGCTCGTTTCGCGGAATATTTCATTGCTCTTTCATAAAAAGAGGGGATTTTGGAGCAAGGGTTGTACTGGCATACTCACTTTGAAATTTGAATAGAGGAATGGAATTGGGTCATTTACTTTCCCAAAATGTAAAATAGTTTGAGGCTATTAATTTTGAGGGAAATTTCTAACTGCAAATTCGTGGAAAACAGAGAGGCTGATCAACCAGCTGACATTCCGACTACAGATGTTTCATTACGAAGACAGATTTGATTTCAATGCTCTTGTTTTGGCACCTGACTTAAATTAGATTTGGCAGGTACCTGTTGCTGGAGACTTACACTTGGCGGAGAACCAATTATGGATGCAAGTGATTGGAGAGCTGCAATACGTCCTGCTCTTCGTAAGAGAACTGTCCGAAAAATGTAGGTCTAAATCTCCTTTTTTATTTCAGATCTCAATAACTTTTTTCTTTGATCCGGTAGGTGCTTTAAAATTGAAAGGCTTCTATCAATCTTCCCTTGTTTGTCATATAAATTTAATTTCTTCGTAAAACGTTCAATCATACGTATATGATGAAGGAGCTTAAGCAGATTGTTGATGTGGTTGGTGAACAAATGAAGCCTTTGAAAATGAAGAGAAGATTGAAGGATTTCTTGTTGATTTTTTTTCTTGGCCTGAAGGATTCCTTATTGATGATCATTATGATGATGTTGCATTTAATGAATGAGAATTGGTTGGCATATATTAGAATAAAGCTTAGACTAAAAAGCTTTGCTAAAATTTGATATATTTGGAGTTGAGTACTTAATATTGTAATTTATGGATGATTCTCATGAAGCTTTTTTATTGTTTTACACTATCAGTGACTATTTGTTAAAATTAGCGATTTATCAATTATATTTGGAATTTTCAAATTTGCTCCTATATGATCAGAATGCTACTCGTATATGATAGTATTTTGGAGCCTTGAATTGTTTAAGAGCTATATCTGAGGATTGTTTAATGTCCTTACTCTTCACCATCTTATGAATTGTGAGAGAATTGTTTTCTTGACTTTGTAGAATGAAAGCAGTGTACCGATATAAGCATCTTGATGGTGAGGATGGCATGCAAGAACTTGAAAAATTTTCTCAAAGTTTTGAACAGAAGACTTTTGCTGGCGCAACAAACCTGGTATGATCATATTTCAGATCTCGAAGTTATCATCTTTTGACTTTTGACTTTTGAAGTTATCATCTTTTGTTTTCATCTACATTTGTTGCCTTGTACTTATGTCCTTTATATTCCCAATTTCAGTCAGATTATTTGCAGCAAATAACTTCGAAGGAGGTTTCAATGAAGAGTAAGTCTCTGAAACTGACGTGGAACTTAGTGGCATCAAATGAGTCACTAACCCATTTAAGGTCTTGGTTATTTGAGGCTTCTAAATTATGGTTTGTTAGGTCCAAAATAGACCGTAAACGACTCAATCACTTGTGGTTCATGCATTTATTATTTGTTGCTGACAAGATATTTTGTTTTTTGCTATTGATTTAACTTTCATCCATGGAATCTTCTGACATTCTCAGGTTTTGCCAATTAAATTTTAGGGCATATCAATTTTGCACTCGACATTATTGATTCAAATATCACCAAAAATTTGTGCATTTGTGTTGTAATATTTGAAGGACTTAATCTATGAAAATGAATCTAGCTTGTTGGGCAATAATATTGTGACTATGCCCGTTAACTTGAGTGGTATCCTTTTCCCTTAAATAAAACAGAGCTGTTAATTCTCAGCCTCTAACTTGTTGGTTACTCCTTGTTTATTGAAAATACATAGTGAGAAAATCTGATATTGCCATGTAAACTTTTGTTTCTTCTGGTGATTGGTGGAATAATGCTGTTATTTTAGTTTCTGTTGATTATCTTATCTCTTCGTTTTTCTTTTAAATAAGCAAATGATGTGTACTATTTTACTCTATTTATTTGATCTCTATGTACTCATGTTATTTATATTTATATTATAACAACATCTGTTCCAGGGAAAATGCAAGAAGAGGCGTACCAAAAGGTAAATATGCCATTTTATAACATTTCTATTTTCTCAATAAAGCTGGCAGACCTACAGAGAATAGTCAAATCAACCTAATGTAAGGATTGAAGAGCTTCTTGATTCCTTTTTACAACAACAACAACAACAACAAGCCTTATCTTATAGGTAGGGTCGGCTACATGAATCACACGACGCCATCGTGCTCTGTCAACAACCCAGTCCTTAGATATGTTGTTGACTAGAAGATCTCGTTCAATGACCTTATTAAGCGTTCTTATTGGTCTTCCTCTGTTTCTTTTTATGGAACTCTATCTTGTCTGATTCACCCTCCTCACCGGGGCCTCAATAGCCTTCTCTGCGCATGTCCAAACTATCTTAAGCGATTTTCAACCATTTTCTCTTGGATAGGTACCACACCGACTCTTATTCTGATATTTTCATTTCGAATCCTATCTTTTCTTGTATGACCACACATCCATCTCAATATCCTCATTTCTGTTATCCCAACTTTGTGCTCTTGTTTTTCTTTTATTGCCCAACGTTCACTACCATACAACATAGCCGGTCTTATAGCAGTCCAATAAAATTTTCCTTTAAGTTTCTCAGGTACCTTCTTATCGCAAATAACTCCGGTAGCTTTCCTTCACTTTAACCAGCCAGTTTCTATTCTATGAGAAACGTCTCCATCAATTTCCTCATCTTTCTGTATAATGCATCCTAGGTATTTAAACTTTAATACTTGAGAATGATTTGCTCCCCCATCTTCACTTCCAAATCCTCATTGCCTTGCCTCCCCCCAAAATCACAATGCATATATTCTGTTTTGTTCCTGCTCAAGCGGAAACCTTTCGACTCCAACGTCCTTCTCCATAATTCCAATCTAGTGTTAATCTCTTCTTTTGATTCCACCATGATAACTATATCATTCGCGAAAAGCATGGATTTAGGGATTCTTTCTTGAATAGGTTCAGTTAGAATATCCAAAACAATGTTGAACAAGTACGAACTCAAAAAGGATCCCTGATGTAGGCCAATCTGAATAGGGAAGTCTTTTGTCTCACCTCCAGGTGTCCTTACACTGGTAGTTACCCCCTCATACATATCTTGTATGGTTTTGATATAAGCAACTCTTACACTTTTTTTCCAAAGCCTTCCACATTATTTCTCTTGGCACACGATCGTAAGTCTTTTCCATATCAATTAAGACCATATGTAAATCCCTTCTTTTACTTCTATATCTTTCCATTAACCTTTTTAGTAAATAGATTGCTTCCGAAGTGGATCTCCCTGGCATAAATCTAAATTGGTTTTCTGAAATAGAAGTCTCCAGCCTCAACCTATACTCCATCACTTTTTCCCACAACTTCATTGCATGACTCATAAGTTTTATTCCTCTGTAGCTTGCACAGTTTTGAATGTCTCTTTTATTCTTGTAAATAGGAACTAAAATGCTTCTCTTCTACTCATCCGACATATTCTTAGAGCGTAAAATTTCATTAAAAAGCTTGGTTAGCCACACCTCACCCTCATTTTCCAGACATTTCCAAACTTCAATAGGGATACCATCAGGCCCAACAGCTTTTTCATTGTCCATTTTCTTGAGAGCTACCTTAACCTCTGCGATACGGATCCTGTGGTAGAAAGCCAAATTCTGATCATCTTCGTTAATTAGCAAGTCTTGTAAGTCCTGAGTCGCATAATTGCTTCCCTCATTAAACAACTTGTAAAAATAAGCCTCCCATCTGTCCTTAATATCACCATCAGTAACTAACACTTTACCATCTTCATCTTTTATACACTTTATTTGGTCCAAATCTCTCTTTTTCCTCTCCCTTTGCTTCGCAATCTTGTAAATATTTCTTTCTCTCATCTTTGTTCCTAACTCTTGATAAAACCTTTCATAAGCTTTAATACGTGTTTCGCTCACTGCTTTCTTTGTCTTTTTTTTAGCCAACTGATACTTTTCCCGATTTTCTACACTATTGCACGAGTGTATGGCCTTAAAACAATCTCTTTTCTGTTTGACTTTTTCTTGCACACTCTTATCCCACTACCAAGTCTCCTTATCTCTCTGACCAGGACCTTTGGATTCTCTCAAAATTTCTTTACCTACCAAACGAACCCTTGTAACTATCTCTTCCCACATCATGTTTGCATTTCCCTGCGACTCCCAAATCCCTTCCTTCATAAGGGTCCTTTTGAATAACTCTCATTTCTCACCCTTTAACTGCCATCACCTAACCCTGGGTTTTACCACTTGATGGTATTTTTGCTTGGTACTCTTAAAACGTACATCAAGAATAAGTACTCTATGTTGGGCAGTCACCCCATCTCCGGGAATCACTTTGCAATTAGTACACAATCTTCTGTCTGGATTATTAACCAAAAAGAAATCAATCTGTGATTTTGAGACACCACTTTTGTACGTGATTAAATGCTCCTCTCGCTTCTTAAAACAAGTGTTGACAATCTTAAGATTATATGCAAGAGAAAAGTCGAGAATAGATTGTCCTCCACTATTAAGCTCCCCAAAACCAAAACCACCATGGGCCCCGCTGAATTGTCCTGCTTTCTTACCGACATGTCCATTAAGGTCCTCACCAATAAAAATTTTTTCTTCGATTGTCCTTCTTGATTCCTTTTTAGATGAGGAAAATTGCCAACATTACGCAAACTCGCGTTTCTGACATTTTGAAATTATAACATTAGGTGCCATTGATTTGCATTCTTGAATATTCTGTTGAGAAAGCAATCCAATTGGAAGGAAAATTTCAAGGTTTCAAATGTTTTGATTTTCTGATTGTTTTTATTTCAACTTACAGATTGTAATGTTGAAGGAAATGTACTTGCCAGATATGGAAAAACTCTACCAGGAAGTGCTCAATAAAATTCAGCGGGTATCTTAGGTCCTCCTTTTTTTGGTACTATTATTTAATGTTTGACATTATTGACTAATACAAATTTAAGCATTCTCAAGCTCAAACGGGGGGTAGTTCTCCTGTTATAATTTTTGTTTCTTTTAATTTCACAATGTTCAAACCCTCGACCTTGCTGAATGTCTTGTGTACTTTTAACTTTTAACTTGACCCAACCTGTTATATTGTGCACTTTTCACAATATCATGACTTTTCGAGTCTGTAGTAATACGTGTTGTCCTGCCATTACAGCGTGTGCTGAGCTCTTTCAAACCACCTCTATTTCTCAAAGAAAGCCTCTTGTTTCTGTTAAAATATCTGATGTTTGGTAGTTAATTAAATTAATTATTATTTCAACTTAGTTATCATCTCATCAATTCAGTTAAGAATGTGTTTTTGTGTGTGTGTGAATATTCATAAAGTCAAATATCTTGCCTTGTCTCTTCCTAATTTGAATTTAGGAGTTGTCCAACCTATATAAATATCTACATGAATAAAATCCACATGGTATTACTTTTATTTATGTTATAAGAACTGAATAAGCAAGATGAAATAAAGATATCAAGAAAGAGATTTTATTGGAGAAATGAGTGCAAGGATCTTGAATACTTGTAAGTTTGATAATCACAAGGAGGATCTCTGATTACACAAGACACTTGATATTCAGATGAACCACTTCTAGTCTTCACCCTCATGACCTATTTATACTAGAGAAAAGAACATTACCAGATACATAACAGAAAGAAAAGGAAATATTGCTCTATACATTTCATTCAGTGCAGGAGATAAGGGACAGTTACTGCTCTAGCACGTAACCCATCTCACCTGCTCCCCTTTTGATTTGTTTAGCTACCACCTTTCAATCCTTTCCCTTCACAAAGCAAAATGTAGTTGTGTATAGTGCCCTCATCTCATAATCAAGTATAGAGCTTGCTACTCCAGTTGAGTAAAAGGATGCACTCAGAGAGAGAAATGCACAATAGAAATGGGAGGTACATTTGACGCTCATCGCATTGACGTGCTCATCTCTCAGATGAAATATTGACTGTACAATTCTAAGTTAGATCAATCAAATTCTTAATTTGTTGAATGATACATTCATATTTTTAAATGGTTAGAACTATCCTTAGTTTAGTAGTAATATGCAACTGTGGGCTGTTTTATTCGTCTTCCTTCTATAAATTGAAGAAGTATTGCAAATTGAAGAAGTGTGGGCGGGCGGGTGGGTTTGTTTGTGTGTAAAATTTGTTAATATAATCATATTTAACCTTGTATTTGTATCTCTCTTTCAGGTTGAATCACATACGCAGCAAGCAGACTCGCACACGAGTCAGAAGCTGAAAAGAGTCAAAACAGAGTATGAGCGTGAGATAGCAATTCTCAAGGTTTCTGAGAGCGACATTTCTCCTTCCTTGAGCAAAAATCTACCTGTATATCAGGAGCGGATAATGGACAATGTAAATGCATACAAGCGGAAAAGGGACAATGCATGCAAGCGAAAAAGGAACAATGCAAATGCATACAGGTGGGGATTCTGGACAGCTGACGCAGATTCGTCTGGATCATCATCATCTACAACCATTGCGGTTATTTGGAACTGATTGAGATGTAGAAAATAACAGCAAGAGGATTCTCCTATAAGCTCGCATGAACCATGGTGAGGAGTATAGAAATCAATAGGGAATTTAGAGAAGACCACCGTTACCAAGATATCGTAGGAGATGTTAGAAGGCTTATTGCTAGATGCAGGACTGTTTTTATTATTTTCAAATAGAAGGACAGATTGCAGAGGTTTGATGCTCTTGCTAAATTCTGACACTAAATGTTGCATTCTCTTTGCATCTATGATCTTCTTTTTGCATCTTTGATCAGTCACCAATTTGTTGCGTGGAAGTGGGAATTGACGGTAGGTTGTAGGTTTTCTTCGTTTTTGGTCGTAAATACTCCATTTCTCTCTGGTTTATTTGCAGGAGATAGTTGGAGAGTTTGCTTTGGTTCTAAGAGTGTTTAGGTGAAAATCAAAACATGGTTTTAAAAGTAATTTTACGGTATATGAAGTAACTATATAAGAGCAGTTTTATTTGGGTCTGTGTGAAGACATTTTTTTTAAGTATTTTTACTTGATGCCAAACACTTCCAGCCTCTCACTTTTTTTTTATTCTCTCCTCAAAAAACAGAAGTTACCCATATTGATTGCACACATTAATGTGTAAAATCAATATGGGTAGTTTCCAAGATAAATGATTAAAAAAAAAAAGGTATTTTAAAAAAATTAATACATATTTTTACAAATAAATATCTTAGTGGATTTTTTAATTGATATGAATTAGTGATCTATAATTAGAGTTTTTTTTTTTAAATGATAGTGTAGATATCTAACTAGTGACAATTTCTGGGGAGGGAAATGCAAAGAAACTTGCTTGTTCACCAAGGGGGAGAAAAGACTCCTACGAGGGGAGAGTTTGATGCTTTAATAACACGTTAGTTATACAAACTTGAGCTTGTTATAGGCATAGCACTAATATTAAGATGTTGAATATAGTCTCTCTCTATCAATCTATGAACTTGTTTATTGAGCTCCTTTCTATTTTTGGGGTTGATCCTATAACAGGGGGGATAGAGAAGACTAGAAACGGGAATTGAAATTCTTAATAGCAAGTTAATAATTAAAGATTAGACAGAAAATGAAACTCTACCCGTGGATTCAGTGGAAATTAAAATTAGGGGGAAGAAAAAAAGAGGACGAACAGAACCGGCGGCCACGGAGACGTAGATGGCGGAAGACTTGAAATTGTGATCTGGAACCTTGTTTGCCTATTCCTACCATCACTATAAGCCTTCGATCTAGCACTGTACTTTATGCGCCATGTCCTCTGTGCACTAAAGCCGAGGATATTGTTTTGTTTACCAATATATTTTCTAATTGGGGATTTTCCCCCAATTTTCCCTTAAAACAGAGATACAAAGATGATTTCATTACTATATTTTTATAATAATAAAATTATAATTAAATATAAAATCAAAGCCTTAAATTTGCAACTTCTAAATGTAATTTATACAATTTAAAATCTTACCACAAGATCGAAGAATGTAGCAAGTGGATCTGGAGAATCAATCCTTTTTTTCCCCAACTGAGAATCAAATCCATTTCCCATTATCTTTTGGGTTACAATATATTAATATCAAGAGCCAGTTTCGGTATTCATCATTTTGATGAGCATCCTAAACTCATCAGATCTAAATAATTCATATCTCATTTAGATGGTTTGGATCTGATTTCTTTTTTATTTTTATTTATTTCAAAATAATTATTTTACTATATATAAAATCTAAAATAGACATGAGTAGTTGCTGGAGATTTTAATGCTTATATGAATCTAGATGATAAATCAGGAGGTGCAGCTCCAAATACGATGTCTATGAGGAATTTTGGTGATTATATTTATAACTCTAATCTTCTTGAAATGGAGTGTGTGAGTGATAGATTGACTTAGGAAAGAGGACTTATGAAAGAGAAGATTGACTAGGTTGTTAATAATCAACTCTGGACCACCCAGTTCCCTCACGCTAAAGTTTGCAATTTGAATAGATTTGGATCTGATCATTGACCTCTCATGATTACCACGGAACAAGGGGGGTACACCAAGTCGTCTAGCTCTATATTTCGTTGCCAGGCTGCTTGGCTCCTAGAAGATGGATTTACAGAGATTGTTAAAAAAAGCTGATTGCATGTGAATTGGAATTACAAGATCAAAAGTTTTGCTAAAGAAGCAACACAGTGGAATAAAAAGAAGGTAGGAAATATTCCTACAAAGAAAAACAACTTACTAAGAAGAATTGAGGGTGTTGACAAAGCAAGAGGAAGATAGAACAGCCAGTATTTGATACAAGTGGAGAAGGATTTATGGAAAGAATATAACAAGGTGCTAGCTCAAGAGGAACTCATGTGGTTTCAAAACTCTAGATGTAACTGGTTGAAATGGAATGATCGTAATAGCAACTTCTTTCACAATTCCACTCTAATTAGGAGAGTGAAAAACAAAATTGAGGGGCTTCAAGATAACCAAGGGGAGTGGATTTTTGAGCAGGCAAGACTTAAAGATATGGCAGTCTCTTACTACAAGATGTTATTTAGTAGCAAATCAGTCTAGAGAGTACCTTTTGTACTTCAATTGATTTTCCTACTATTAATGAAGAAGATAGAAGCCTCTTGGTAGTCAGAGTTGATGATACAGAGATCAAAGAAGCAGTTTTTGAGTTGGGTGCCTTCAAAGCCCCAGGGCCTAATGTGATTCAAGCCTTTTTCTATCAAGAATTTTGAGAGTTACTTGGTGGTGACATATATCGTATGGTAAAAGATATTTTCAACGATCCACCTAAGGTCCAATTGCTCAATCACACGAGTATAGTACTCATCCCCAAGCTAGACCGGCCTAAAAGTATAAAAGACTTCTGACCAATCTCTCTTTGCAATGTAAGCTACAAGGTGATCACAAAGATAATTAGTTGAAGACTCAAGAGTATCATGGCAAAAGTAATGGGTCACCACCAATGCATTTTCATAGTAAGACGACAAAGTAGTGACAATATAATCATTGCCCAGGAGTTATCCAGTCTATGAAGACTAAAACAAGGCAGAAGGGTTGGTTAGCAGTCAAAGTGGATCTTGAGAAAGCTTATGACAAGCTAGAATGGAATTTCATATATGATACTCTAAAGGCTGTGGGAGTTGATGAGAACTTAACTCGAGTTATTATGGCTTGCATCTCCACCTCTTCCTTTCAAGTGCTTTGGAATGGAGAGCCTACTAAGAAATTCAAACCCTCAAGAGGAGTAAGGCAAGGTAATCTAATTTCACCCTACATTTTTACTCTATGCATGGAGAGACTAAGCCACATAATTAAGGATGCTATTGATGATGACATCTAGACCCCTATAAAGTTAAACTCGAATGGGCCACCCATTTCCCATCTATTTTTTGCTAACGATTTAGTTCTTTTTGGTGAAGCTTCTACCTATCAGGTGGATGTGATGTTACAATGCATTAATAAATTTTGTGAAGCCTCGGGTCAAAGAATGAATAACTCTAAAACAAAAATCTGCTTCTCAAGAAATGTCCACATTACAAGGGCTATGGAGTTAAGTCACTGAATGGGAGTAGGGTTGACAGGGGATCTTGGAAAGTATCTCGGTATCCCTTTGATTCACAAGAGAGCTTCATACTCACTCTTTGCCCCTATCTTAGACAAAACAAAGAGGAAACTTTCAGGTTGGAAAAAGAAATATCTTACTCTAGCAGGGAGAGCTACGCTTATTTGGTCGGTTCTATCGGCCTTGCCTTCTTACCACATGCAAATAATGCTCCTACCTAAACAACTCATTCATGACATAGAGAAGGTTAGAAGAAATTTCCTCTGGGGAGAGAAGGAAGATTGCAGGAAAATCCATTTGTTGGCTTGGGGTAAAATTATTACTGATAAGACATAAGGTGGCCTTGGTATTAAGGACTTACGGAAGCAAAATGAAGCTTTTGTGATGAAGTTATGTTGGAATCTGAGTGCAAATAAAGAAGCTTTGTGGGTGAGAGTTTTGAGATCCAAGTACCAACATGGAAATAAGGAGATGCCCACTATCAACAAGAGAGCTAATTCTTCTTTGACTTTGAGGAGTATTTGCACTATGTAGACTTATTTTAAATCTGGGGTAGGAAGAAAAGTGGGCAACGGTAGGACAACCTCCTTCTGGTTTGATAACTGGTCAAAGCTAAATGGGCCCATCATTGATTTAATTCCTGGCCTTGAGGGATTCATCAACCCTGAGGATAGAATGTTGGACTATGTTAACCATTGGGGAGAGTGGGACAGACAGAAACTCAGTTGTTGGTTTACCCCTGCTGTTTTGCTCGAATTAACAATGCTCACCCACCTAGAGAGGAGAGAGGCGAGGATATTTATTTTTGGAAACTGTCTTCAGATGGGATCTTTTCTGTGAAATCTATATATAAGTTTCTTTTTGTAGGTGTGAGACAACCAGATGATGGAGTTTGGAAGATACTTTAAAGGTGGCCGGTGCCAGAGAAAATAAGGTCTTTCATGTGGTTATTTACACATGGAAGACTCCACATTGCGGAGCTTAGAGCACACTAGGGAATTACCAATACAGCAGATTGCCCTTTCGGATGTCCACAAAGTGAATCTTCTATGCATCTTCTCATCGATTGCCCGAATGCTTTTCAATGGTGGAAAACAGTGGTGGACACAAATCTATGGCCTTCCTTCTCAACACTACAAGGAGCCGAGTGGGTTCAGTGGAACCTTACACAGGATGCTGGGATGCAGTTTACAAAGAAAGTCCAATTGCCAATACTTTTCAGATATATTTGCTGGGATATTTGGGTTGCTCGATGTAACAAACTATTTGGCTACACAGATACTGAGCGGGATATTAGTGCTAAGGATAGTTTCTTCCGAGCTTGCTTAGATCAAGACTTGGTGGGTAAATGTGAATTTTATACAGGTCAAACCACCCTCAAGCCACAACCATTTATTGTTCCAAATCATTATGGTAAACTGCAAGTGATGGGTCTACTCGCCACTGGGGAGAGAGCGAATGTGGGGGGGTCATCAAGGATTAGGAAGATTGTTGGATCGCGGTATTTAACTGCAAACTCACTTCAGTCCCACCAACAATTGTGGAAATTTTAGGAATTATTCATGGACTCCATCTATGCTGGTCAAGAGGATATAGGAAGATTGCTCTATTCACTGATTCAATAAAGGCTATTAACCTTACTACTAGGGTATGTAGCATCGATCACCCTTTCAGAGATGTCATCGAGGATGCCATACTTTTGATCAATAGGTCGTGGGAT